TATGAAATATATATATATATATATATATGTGCCAGATTTTATATTTATTGCCTTTCTTTTATTTTTAATTCTCTTTTTAAAACATATATATTAGCTTTCACCTGCAGTCTTTTATAAAAGAGTGCAAGTTAATTGTTTGCTGGTTGTTTTCTTGTCTCAGTTGAAACTCAATGAGATTATTTTTCAAAGCAATCTGAATAACTGATAGTATTTCCTTCCAGGAAATGCTGGCTCAGCTACTACCCACACTTAACTGCAGTTAAAAGAATCATGTGGTTTAGTATTGAGTCACACGCTCAGATATATATATACTGTCTACTTTCACTCCATCCACATGTATACGTATAAATTAAAAAGATGGGCTCTGCACTCCAAAAAGCTTGCTCAATATTTTTTTTACATTTTATATTTACCTGTACAATAGGGTGTACAGCATGTTCATATTAAAGTTTCAGGCTTCCCAGGCCTTCCTCAGGTACAATAGTAACACATCAATTTATGACAGGGTTTAAATACATCAAAATAATAAAAATAAAGTTACCTCACATCGTTTGCTTCACACACCTGTCTCATAAATACTAAAGTAGGGTATACACTGTTAGAATTTCATACAAAGAATCTACAGATGCAGGGCCAGATTTACTCTCCCTGCCGCCCCGGTTTTGTGGAACCTGGCCTTGTTTCTTTATTTTTATCACTTTTTATTTTTTATTCAATTATTTCTTCTTATTTTTAAAAAAAAAGAGCCGGTGGGCGGAGCCTTGGGCCGCCCCGTCGTGATTGGATGGCGGCCGCACACTACGGTCCGCCGCCGGGACACCTTACAGCGGCGCCCGCAACTTCTCCACAAGGTCACCGCTGCCGCCCCTCTGCGCTCTGCCGCCCCGAGGCCGGGCCTCGGTGTCCTTGTGGGAAATCCGGGCCTGTACAGACGTTTATTCGTGGACACGCAAGAAAGGCTTACTAACTTTTTTCCTTTTCAAAACGATCAAAAGTGATTATTGGAGAGGTATCACAATGTTGAGAGTTAAAACATCGACCAGTGAGGTAACGGAAGTGACATAAACATGTAATGTATGTGACCTCTATGCCACTCCCATAGGAAGCTGTATATAATATGAATGTTCATTCGTATTGCGATCATTCGTTGTTTGCTGCTGCATGAGAATAACATCTACAGCATTGGAGCACCTAAACAACCTGCAAATCGAAAACCTAGCTGTGGTGGTGCTCGGTGTATCGGCTATCCAAAAGCAGTGCAAGAAGCCAAGAAGACGTCGAATCTGGGCCAAAGAATGGCCTAAAAAAGGAGACACGTTATCTCATATGAGACTGATTCATTTTTTTGGGCAGAAAAAAACCCAGATGATGACAGAAATTATCTACGTCTGTCAGAGAAATCTATCCAAGATCTATTAATGAGGCAGGCAATAACTGCAGAGCAAAGACTTATCACCACCACATTACGTTTTTTGGCTACAGGAAGGTCCTTAGCAGATCTAAAGTTTTCTACAGGAATATCAGCACAGTCCTTGGGGAAGATAATTCCGGAAACATGTAAGGCGATCATTGAAGTGCTTCAACAAAAATACAACATCAAAATTTTATTTGTAAAAAAATCACAGCATGCAAAAAGTGCCAAGTTTGTAGCCAAAACATTATAGTGAAACTGTTACAGATATAGATTAACCACCTCAGGGACGGCCATTGTAAAAAACGGCCGGCCGAGAGGTCTCTAGATCTGAGAGATCTTTAGACGTCCGCTCAGACACGCCCCCTCGCACGAGCGGGCAATGGCCGGTATTTAAAAATAGGCAGCGATGCCTGTTACCATACAAGCGATCCGCCGGCTGTAGAGCTTTTATATTTTACCAAAAAACTGGGTAATAATAAATGTTTCCTAACATAATGTGAAATAAAAAAAATTCTGTAATTTTTCCTAATTATAGTAAAAAATATAAACCCCAGTGGTGTTTTAAATACCCCCAAAAGAAAGCTCTATCGGTCCCCAAAAAATGGTATAAAATTAATTTCAGTACAGCGTTGCATGACGGAATAAACGTCAGTCAAAGTACCGCAGCGCTGAATACTGAAAAATGGCCTGGCCAGGAAGGGGGTCTAAACACCTGGTCTTGAAGTGGTTAAATAGAATAGTTATTTACAACTTTTTCCTTAGTTTGTCAGGCAAATACTCTAGGGCAAACCAAGTGGTAGCCATGTACCCACGTAAGCCAAACTATATATAAAGAATCACAGAGAAGCTGTACAATCCTACAATTGCGTGTAATTAAATTTCTTTGACCAGGAACTGTTTCCACGTTCAGCAGCAGGTGGCAGTTGCCAGTTGCGGATATTGTTGAGGATAAAGGGTTGGTATGGATATGTTTGCTCTGTTAAAATAGTGTTTTTGTTTATTTGTGTCTATGTTTATTTAAAAAAAAAAAGAAAAGAAAAAAAAAAAAAAAAAAAAGGGTTTTTGGTTATATCCTCTTGAACACCCT